TTCTTGTACAGGTGCCATAGGGATGAAAAATAAGCGGGGGTTTTTCTGTGCCCACCAAATGAAAATCTGTCCTATTTTATCTTTCACTTTTTAATACAAAAAAGCCTGTTTGGCTTGTGTTAGGCTTTAATGTTATGGAGACAGTCTTGGCTTGTCTGGGGCTCAATTTCACGTTTCCAAAATACCTTTTGGGAAAAAAACAGACATGTCCCCTTTTAGACCATTTCAAGCATAGGGCCTTTCATACTTTGATATATTCACACTCTTTGCATTACAAGGAAATTTGGATTGAAGTTCAGAGTTTTCAAACTCCAGACTGCATGCTTGTTTCTCGTCATTGACCCCCTAGGTAGTGCGCCAGTGTTTGAATCATGGCCAAGGGACATCAATGGACACTAATGACTTGGTTGTCTTATTTTATTCTAGAAAAAGTTCATGAAATGGAGAAGGAGCACTTAAATAAAGTACAGACTGCCAATGAAGTTAAGGTATGTTGGAGAGTCTTTTTTAAAATACTTTTTTGACAATGTCAAGCTTTATTAAAACAAAACAAATTCCATAACAAAAATAACTGAATAGTTATTTTCTTCACTTAGCATGCTGTGGAGCAGCAGATTCAGACTCATCGGGAAAGCCACCAGAAACAGCTGAGCAGTCTGAGAGATGAGATTGAGGCCAAGGAGAAGCTGATCACAGATCTTCAAGAGTAAGTGATAGAGGTTCATCAGTTATAGGACCAATTACTTTGCATTTCTTTTATTACTGATCTTCACAGTCTGCATAATATATATCATGGCTGAGTTTAGATTGCTAAGCTGTCACTGCTTAAGAAGCCCCCTTAGATATTTTCGAATGGTTTGTTTCCAAATTGCTTGTAATCAGGGATGCACCCAAATGCTCCAATACCTTTGCCGATACTGGAACTTCCTGTCAGAGGGAGATTTCCTCTGACCGGCAGTGCCGCGAGGGAACATGGTGCCGGGAAGCACAGCTGGCCGAGGGACATCTGTGGTATGGTAATGACTGCTGCTAAGGATCATTGTGAGGGGAATGAGGTGTCTGCAGGGTAGAAGTTGTGTCACCATATTATCAGATCTGTTTGGCCGGCCTCGATGTCGATTGGCTGGGAAGCCGGCTTCCTGGCCAAACAGAATGGAGGCGGCTTCCTCCGAAATCAAGAAGCTGGGTGCTGGATAATGGCACGCCGCCTTGGCTCCCTGATTGCCAGGGAACCCAGCTCAATGCTACCGGAAGTACCCGGTATCGGCGCGTACCGAAATATATAAATATCGGTACTCTATACCGAAAAACCGGTATCTGTGCATCCCTACTTTTAATGTCTCTTGTGCTGGGGCAACGGGCTTGCACAAAAATGGGACCTTGTGTTTTACTTTCTCATTGTAGATATATCAGTCTGTGCAGAATAATTGCATACAAGATAATTGTATAAATTAGGGCACCTTTACGAATACAATAGATGACTACAATAAACTATGTAATGCTAAAACCATGTATAGCTCTATTAAAACACCATAGCGTTCAGTTATTCATGGTTGTCAAAACCTAGCAGCACCTCATAAATTCATATACTGAAAACTGATCTTTTAGCAATACATAGCAGTGCTCAGTCAAGTTCATCCAATCATTCAAATGAAAGCAACAGGATCTTCATGTGGCCAACATTTAGCTGTACAGTTGGAGAATCTACAGAGCTCTGTATGAATTGCAATCATTAAAATATGGTTACAGCAAGCATGTAAAAATTAAAAAGTGACATACAAAAACCTTTGGGTAACTGGTAAAATAAAAATGTTTTCACATAGAATGTACACCAAAGTTTCTTTGTAAATTAAACTTATTTTACTGTGTCAAAACTAAATGTACAAAGAACAAGCACCCACAGATTTAGGAAAAATTGTATTTGCATACTATAGCCACCCCAGCATTGGGGGCTGTGCAGCCATATTTTAAGAAGCTGACTGTACTTACCAATACCGAATGTCTGCTCTCCTCCTGTAATGTAAGTTTTTCTTTACAAAAAACTTACATTACAGTTACAAAAATTTGTGCACTGCCCCACACGTATGCCAAGACTAGTTCTACTTCTGCCCAGCTGTGAAATATATGAGTAAAGGGTTCAGTAGACCTTTTCTGCATGCATAGGGATGTCACTCTACTCGAAGTGTGACTGTGAGGGAACACATTGATGTGTATTCTCCTGCTGACTTGAATGAAGTGTCATCAGCATGTAAGGAATCATCCTGTCACATGCTGGTTAGTGGTACATGACACATGATGATTTAAACTGACAAATGAAGTTGAAATGCATTAACATAACATGGACAGTACTAATTACATTAATGTTTCTTTTGTCTCTTGCAGCCAAAACCAGAAGATGATGCTGGAGCAGGAACGACTTCGAGTGGAGCATGAAAAGCTAAAATATGCTGACCAGGAGAAGAGTAAGAAACTGCATGACCTCACGTAAGTAGATATTTAATGCAATCAGTAGTCTGCAGGTAATGTTCAGCAGGTGCATTGCTGGGTTAGGGAAGAATTAGGAACAAGGCTGATCTTCAGATGCTTCAGACTGTGCCGGTCTAAGATGCTTGCAGTAAAGTTTGCAGATATAATGTCTGTTTTGTTTGTGTGTGGGTTTTTTATTTTATTTTTAGGGTTAATACTTTTCACACATGGGATGCTTATTTAATGTTCACCACTCTTCTGCAGTGGAAGAGGTCAAGCCTAATATTCGTTATCTTTATAGATGAAAAATGGAGATTGACTTGTGCTAAAATGGCCAGAATAGCAGTGTGGGAGTGGTGTTGGTTGGTAGTTTGGAGATTTATGCAGATAATCTCTCAGCGGATGGACCCAGAATATACTGCTTTGGATTTTGGCTCCCAACATGGCCCGGGGTACATGAAAAGGGGAAATCTGTGGTGTGTGCATCTTTTTCCTTCTGATCAGGATAAATTGACTGGAAAAATAAATGGCACCTCCTCAACTTGATACCTTTTTTGTAGCATTTCAAATTGGTTACAAAACAATCCTACTAGTTGTGGTAGTTGTGCGAGTGTGGCTGGCGCTCATCTCAGGTTTATAAACAATTCTGATTCCTTTTTCCTTACTTTGCCTCAGCTGAGACAGGACTATTGAATGCCAGAAATGGGAACAGTTTCCCATAGCAGTGGCATTCAGTTCTTTGTTTTTGGTTTGGGTTAGTAAGTTATAAGCAGACCCCTTTCAATCTTTTGGATAATATACGGTTAAAATTGTATCCGCGTCTTAGTTGGTACCTTGCAATACCTAAATGGGGGTTCTTTCAGCCCACATTCAGACCTTTCCCTTGCTGATTGTCATTCTTTCTAATGTGCTGCACTATTTCATCAGGGTAATGCAAGATAGAAGAGAACAAGCACGGCAGGATCTGAAGGGACTGGAAGAGACGGTGGTGAGTAAATCAGTAAATGAACCCATACATTGCAATTTATTCTACTGCTTTAGTTTCTAAAGAAACAAACATCAAACATCTGTAATTGTAGGCAAAAGAGCTTCAAACGCTGCACAATCTCAGGAAGCTGTTTGTTCAAGATTTGACTACTAGAGTGAAAAAGGTAATGTCTCCGGCTACTATCTTTACATCCATTCCTGTGCTCTGGCCATGCCTATGTCTGAACAAAGTGTTTTCTCTGTAGAGCGCAGAGATGGACTCTGATGACACAGGGGGAAGTGCTGCACAGAAACAAAAGATCTCCTTTCTTGAGAACAACCTGGAGCAGCTCACAAAAGTCCACAAACAGGTATGTGCCCCTTTTACCTGAGGGGTTTTTAGGCACAAGTTTGAGTGAAGCCGCCGTAACAATGCTGTAAAAATGTTCTTCCTCCTTGTAGTTGGTACGGGATAATGCAGATCTGCGTTGTGAGCTTCCGAAGCTGGAGAAACGACTTCGAGCTACAGCTGAGCGAGTTAAGGCCTTGGAGTCTGCTCTAAAAGAAGCCAAAGAAAATGCATCTCGTGATAGGAAACGGTATCAGCAAGAGGTGGATCGTATTAAAGAGGCTGTAAGGTCCAAGAACATGGCTCGAAGAGGACATTCTGCACAGATTGGTAAATACAGTACATATACTCAATGCTATTATTGAAACTGTTAACTTTTGAACAAAAAATATGCTTAGATTCATAGCTGGTATATGGATGAACCATTATGTTTGCAGTGTATCACTCCTCCCCATCTCTGAGCGCACCATTGTAAACAGACCTATGCACTTCTGGAAGAAAAAAAAAAGGTTAAATTCCATCTCACAGCCTCCGAGACCTCATTATTGGTCCCATTTGATTAATTTGCAGCGTCACTGACCAGTCTCGAGTGTCAAAAGGAGCAGAGGGGATTTCTAAAGTTCAGCTTTTATCTGCAGAAGAAATATTTATTATACAGTAGAGTTTTTACTCTACTCTAACTTTTCTCCAACTTTCCTGTTTGGAAACTTGTTCCAGGTCAGTAAGAAACTTAGGCCAGTATAGGGGCCAACCACCCACAATTTCTCTCAATTAGGAATCCATCGTCTAAAGCCTAAAGGTTCACAAGACTATTCCATGTGAAAGACATATATCTGTGCAGCCTTCCACAGACCCTTTTTGCATACAGAGATATGTGTATCAATACTAAATTATATCCATAAAGCTGCATTTGTAATAGCACAAAACTTTATTACAATATGAAAAACCATTTAAATGCATCAAAGAACATCCTCCCTTCGCATGACCTTATACCTAGGCAAAATAGTATCCAAGTAAAGATTATTTGTGATAGTGTATCTAATCTGACCTAGAGGTCACCTGATAGATCATACCTGCAATCAATAAAATGTATCATGTTGACAAGTTCTGGGGTTTAGAAAAGGATCACATTCATGTTAAAATGTTTTTTTTTTAAGAGACTATTTTAAAATCTTAATTACAATCACTTACCAATTAACCATTATTTTCCTTTTTAGCTAAACCTATCCGTCCTGGACAGCACCCAGCTGCCTCTCCAACACATCCAAATGCAATCCGCGGAGGAGCCGTGTTCCCTCAAAATAGTCAGCCAGTGGCTATTCGTGGAGGAAGTACTAAACCCTGACAAAATGTAAGCTGTAATGATTCGTCTTTCTGTTAGAACACGTATCAAACACAAGGCCCACGGGCCGAATCCGGCCCGCCAGGCCATTTCATGTGGTCCTCACACCTCTCCTGCAGCTGTGGCACCCCCCTCGTCTCCTCCCCACTTTGTCTCAGCAGTCGCATGCAGAGAGAAGGACAGCACACTTTGGATATATTGACTAGGGATGCACCAAAACCAGTACAGTACTCGTGAAAATGCCCCAATGCTAAGCGCCAATAACATCGCTTACAATTTTTAAACAAAACCTGTAAACGGGCATCAGGCTTCACAGGAAGACTACCGAGGTCCCCAGCAAGGTCCCGGGAGCCTTCCTGTTAATCACGGCGCCTGTTCACAGCACCGGCAGAAAATCTCCTCCTTCCTGTGGATCCATGTCACCTGCAGCCGCTGAGACCAACCGGGACCCCTGGTGAAGATTGCTCAGCTCTCCTAAGACCCCAGAGAGTCTGCACAGCTTTTGAACATCCCTATGTCTTCACGGCTGTGTCCCTCCATGGACAATAGAGGAAATAGGATTATGTTCTTACCGTAAAAGCCTTTTCTCTTAGTCTGTTGAAGGACTCGGCTCCCTCCCCTCATTTCCTTTCATACTGTTTGCTACAACTGGCATGTATGAGGTGGGAGGGTTATGTCAGGCTTTTAATTTGTTTGCCCTAGTGTCCATTTCTTCTGGGGGCAGCAGCATAACCCTATGTCTCAGAATGTTTGAGTTGTGTCCCTCAATGATCAATAATCTCAGAGAAAATAATTTTACGGTATGAACAAAATCCTATTTTTGTTCATGTGTGAAAGCATATGACTTCTGTGTTCTATGAGATTAACCTATGACTGCTAGTTAGCCTTATAAGGGGAGAACCATCTTCTGTCACTCCAACCAATCGGATTCAAACAAGCCGTTACAAATGGCAGTCGGAGATTGGAAGTTTGGATTTGATGGCTATAAATTTCATAAGACAATTGGCCATTTCTAAAAGACCTGTTAAAGGCTGGGTCCTCATTGCAGTGATAGATGGACCCTGGTGACTTGAATCACCCACTGGTCCATGAGTTCCTAGCATATTCCTTCTGGAACGTGGAGTCTAGTGTAGTTGAAGAAGCCTGACTCAGATGAAAGACCAACACCACCAGGTCGGTGGAATCGGGGTCTCTATATAGTTACTGCTTTCTATGTTTTTCTATCTGAAATTTTTTTCCGGCTTCTGTCTTGTTTACATAATGTTTTACTGTGTTCTTTGGCCCAGCCAACTTTTCAAATGCCAGCTGTTGCCACGGATGTCCTTCATAATTATACAGGAAAATAGTGCTAGAATTCGTTTTAGGACAGAAGCTGCACATGATGGATAGTCTTAAAGTGTATGTCTAAACACTTGCAATAGACAAACATTTCCCCATGCTGCATCTCTTTAAAGTACACGTGTTTTCTGCAGGTACTAAAGAAAACCTGTTTATTCTGCCAGAAATCCAGTGATCGTCATCCCTGCATGTGTTCTTCCCTGATGAACTACAGTGCACCTCCCTCTTCTTTTATGAAGATGGAAAGGCTGATTTCATGGCGTCACCTCATTTCATATTGCACTTGTTTTTGGTTTTTATATTAAAAGATAGGTCTGGGCAAAGTAATAAAAAGGGGATGCGTTGTGCAGCAGCAGAACTAAAGCAGGACTGACATGACTGCTTGGGATTTTTGGCAGAACGTGTAGTTTTCTATACTTGCAACGTTTTTGAACTTTTTCAAAAGAACAACATAGGAAATGTGCATGTATTGCAGAGATGTATTGAATATTTTTCTTTTATTCCCCTAGACGTAAGGTGCCCATACACCTTACGATTGTCGGACGAAACTTTTCGTACGATGATCGAATCATGCCCCGATCGCAAGATTAGTTTAGCCGTAATTAAGGAAAAGCACCTGGACGAAATGCGGTAATTGATTTGTCGTATTTTCGTTAGCACAAGCGCAGTGTAGATCGTACGACTTTTGACGCACGGAAACGCCAGCAACCTTACGAAAATCGTACCATCTAACAAAGTTTTCAAACATGCTTGACCGTCAAAAGTCGTACGATTGTACAGTACTGTCGGTCAGACACTGCAATGCACACATACGATTATTGGCCGAAAAGTCGATCGCATACGAAAATCGTCCGATAATCGTAAGGTGTATGGGCACCTATACATTCACCGGCCACTTTATTAGGTACACCTGTTCAATTCCCTGGTAACACAAATTGCTAAATCAGCCAAATTACATGGCAGTAACTCAATGCATTTAGACATCTAGACATGGTGAAGACTACTTGCTGAAGTTCAAACCGAGCATCAGAATTGGGAAGAAAGGGGATTTAAGGGACTTTGAACGTGGCATGGTTGTTGGTGCCAGATGGGCTGGTCTGAGTATTTCAAAAACTGCTGATCATCTGGGCTTTTCACGCACAACCATCTCTCGGGTTTACAGAGAATGGTCAGAAAAAGAGAAAATATCCAGTGAGCGGCAGTTGTGTGGACGAAAATGCCTTGTTGATGTCAGAGGTCAGAGGAGAATGGGCAGACTGGTTTGAGATGATAGAAAGGCCACAGTAACTCAAATAACCACTCGTTACATCTGAGGTATGCAGAATACCATCTGTGAATGCACAACACGTGCAACCTTGAAGCCGATGGGTTACAGCAGTAGAATACCAAACTGGCTGCCAATCCTGTCAGCCAAGAACAGAAAACAGAGGCTACAATTCGCAAAGGCTCACCAAAATTGGACAATAGAAGATTGGAAAAACGTTGCCTGGTCTGATGAGTCCCGATTTCAGCGGCGACAATCAGATGGTAGGGTCAGAATTTGATGTAAACAACACGTGAAAGCATGGATCCATCCTGCCTTGTATCAATGGTTCAGGCTGGTGGTGTAATGGTGTGGGGGATATTTTCTTGGCACACTTTGGGCCCCTTAGTAACAATTGAGGATCGTTTAAACACCATGGCCTACCTGAGTATTGTTGCTGACCATGTCCATTCCTTTTATGACTACAGTGTACCCACCTTCTGATGGCTACTTCCAACAGGATAATGTCACAAAGCTCACATTTCAAACTGGATTCTTGAACAATGAGTTCACTGCACTCCAATGACCTCAGTCACCAGATCTCAATCCAATAGAGCACCTTTTGGGATGTGGTGGAACGGGAGATTTGCATCATGGATGTACAGCCGATCTGCAGCAACGGCGTGATGCTATCATGTCAATATGTACCAAAATCTCTGAGGAATGTTTCCAACACCTTGTTGAATCTATGCCACAAAGAATTAGGGCAGTTCTGAAGGCAAAAGGGGGTACTAGCAAGGTGTACCTAATAAAGTGGCCGGTGAGTGTATATTAAACCTCACCCACATAATACCAAATCAGAGACAATTGTAAGTACAAAATAACAGGTAGGATTTAAGGTGGACAGGTTTGCTTATAATGGAGTGTTCAGTGTTAGATGGAAATTCCTTTCACATGAACCTAACAATACAGGTTTACACATACTCATTTCTGCTTTTTTCTTCTGTTTTACAGATGGTGAAGGATCATTGAAGTACTGATCAGAGTGACAGCAGTGTCCGATGGCCAATATTAGGGTTCACTTACCTTTTGGGGATTGTAGAATTGTTTTTTCCAATTGTAATTTATATCTGGCCTGTACAGCTCTTCCTTTATTCCCAACAAATAATTTCCTTTTTTGAGGGGCAAAGTCGTAATGATTTGCAGCAGAACTAGAGTGCAATTTTGATGTATTTGCATACAACATGTAATTTAAGGTATATAGCTCCATCTATTGCACAGTTTGTTATCCATGTCTTAAACTTTAGTCTGCACTGTGCCAAGTCTGAATGTATGTTGCTGGTCGAGTAGAACCTAGATAGGTCTCTGTAAATCTTTCGTCTTGGGGGACATGGAGCAAACTGTAACGGTTTATTACACTTCCAGGTTAACCTTTTTAATTGCATAACACTACTGCTTTATTATACAATGGCAGTAGAGAGCGAAGCAGCTTTATTAATGGGCAATGCTAAGATATGAAACTGTCATTCTCTACAATGTACTATAGTGTCTGGCTACTAAAGTGTGCTTTACACCAAGCTGCCACCAATCCAACTAGCATAAAATCTAAATTTCCACTTCCGATAAGGCTGGTTTACCATTAGCCAGTGGAACAGCCAGTTGCCATGCTGTCTTCAGTTTAAATAATGTATAGTAATGAGATACAGGATTAAAGCTTTTATACATGACAATAGGGATTCATTGTTGACAACATTGACTGTCCTATCGCAAGCATTAATGTGTCACAACTGCTGTGAAAACATTCTGCTTCGTTCTGTTAATAAATGTGTATGGGATTGTCATGAGCTATTTAATCATTTTACCGTATTATGGAGCTTGCACTGGCAGTTAGGTTTTTGTTTTTTTTTAATTATTATTTTATCCTATTTTTCCTTTTTTTTTTTTTTTTTTTTTTGTGTTCTTCTGATACCACTTGTAAGTGTCAAGTTCAGCTAACAGATCATACATTCCTTGCAACGGTGGTTTTCTGAATTGATTGTCTGTGTATACTCCCTGGGAAGCAGTGATTCTATTAATCTGCTAAGCCCTTTTCCCTACAGTTTTATAGCACGACCTCCTCATTACTCGACAAGTAAGAGTGAACTGGATTTTATGCTTTTATGAATCTGGAATCTTAGGTTTTGTTTTTTTTTTGTGTTTTTTTTTGTTTTTACTTAGTAATGGTTATGGGAATGTGTGTTTTAGAGGGAACATCACAAGGGTTTTATGGTAAAATCTGTTCCTCTGCAAGGCTGGGAAATTGGAGGAGGGCCACGTTGCTCTCTGATGTCATCCTTATGGATGGTAAGAAAGTTTGGCCTTCCCTCAGTTCTGCTACTCAGGCAAGACATGTCCTTTGGACGTTAGCTGGTCATAGGGCCATTGGTCATAGCAAGTTCTAGATCTCCTTATGGCATTACTGAGAAAACCAAGTGAGGTCCGTACTCTTGTTTTTGCACATTTCTTTATTTTCTGCGGAAAGGTGACGACAAATGATTTACGAGAAGTGACACTGTTGCTCATGGCAGCCAATCAGGTTTAATTTTAAAACGAATAAAGAGATTGGATGTGATGAACAACACCTTTGAACATTGTGTGGAAAACTAGTAGGACCGATCACCATCTGTGGCCGTATTCAGCAAAGAATAGGGTTGGCACTTTTTATGGATAGTATAATATGCCCATTAAAGGAAACCTGTACTGGCAGAAGTATGTAGCCTGCTATTGGGGTACTCCTTGTGAAAATCCAGGTAACCCAGATTGCCGGACTGTGACCCAGAACGAGCATGCAGCAAGTAAAGGAAGAATTGCATGTAATTATTCCAGGACAATGGCTTAACATTTAGAAGCCACTGAATCAGGATGATAGCCAGCAATGTCAACCATACATATGGATTTTGCCTTTTTGTTGTGTAGATAGTTATTATTTTTTTTCTTTCATGTGAAGATTTGTCTTTTTTTTTTGTGGTTGGGGCCGTTAATGTAATTGGTTATGCACTCTATCTCCTTTTGCAGATTGTGATTACCATGTATAGTTTAATTTGTTTTTCCCCTTTAAAAAATATAATGCACAACTCTCTAGAAGAAGCCATTTCTAAGAGTTAAGGGCAGATGACCACTATCTCCAATGAAAGTATATTCAGTGTTTACATATGATGCAGTAATCCACAATACAATATTGAACTGACAGACTGCATTGCCCTAAATATTGTTTCGGCCCATAGTCTTTTGCTGTTATAGATACTTTAAATGGTATTTCCTGTACTGCTTGGCATAGTTGGCTGAGTTTTTATAGGGCACGTTGCCTGTTCAGGGTGGTGCAGTATCCTGTCTATATTCCAAGCTTTGCCTGGTCATTTGCAGTAGTTGCATGGCAATAGCATAAGCTGCAGTAAGGTTAATAGATCATGCAGGCCATATATACATATACTTGACTAAGCGGCTTTAAATACTCATAGCTGTCCATCACTGGTAAGTTTTAGAATTCTATTTAATTAGCTCCTTTTTAATGTGTACACTCCAGATCCGCAAGTTAGAACTGCAAAATCGGTTCTGAGAACAGCAGGACACCTCATGGTAACCATGTTTGTGTGACTACTGACCTGCTGTAAAATGCATTCAACTCTTAAACACTAAGCCCGTTCTGGGTTATTGATATTGGTTTCTATCCAGCAGCACAGCGTGTGAATGTTCATCGGGGTGTAAAGTGCACCTGTTACAGTGGAGGCAGTTGTATTGTGCTAAGAACAAATATACAGCATGCAAATATTAGTAAGTAGAACATTTGGGGCAGTGTTGGGGCTTTTAGGCTGAAACAAATGAGCTACCTTTTTAGGTTGCGTGTCTCTGTTTCTCAACCTCAGTACAATGTAATAGATCTTTCCTTTCCGTTAATTTTACAGAATTGGTGATGAAAGTTAGCCCAGTTTTCCAATGTTTAAATTTAAAATGTTTAAATCATACATAAGTGCCATTGCATTTTAGTTTGGTGAAGGGTTAGCCTACTTTATCACCTACTTCAACAGATCTTTTTTTCCAGCTTTGTCTGATGTTGGAATCTTTGCACTCTCTCTTACAAGTCTCTGTGTCATCCTATGGATAAAATCGGGACACTGCTTTGCCCAAAATAACTGGAGATCATAGAAACAGATACTCCCCCTCCCCGTCCTTCCCATACACAGTTTATATCTCCATGGGCCCTTGGTAACTCATATCAATCATTACAACAGTAGTGATTTTTGTCCTCATCCTTCAGATTAGCTGTAGAAGTCCTCATTTGAGTTCCTTTATTCATTCCTGTGTTCAGAAGCTCTATCATGCACTGCTGCTGTTTAACATAGAACACTTGGGGAACACTACACTGGCCTTGGAGAAGTTCAGGTTGTGTTTGCTGCACAGAAGGACTTCAGCTGTCTACAGGTTCCCATATGACAACAGCTCAGAAAAGTTCAATGTTCCCCAGCTTTAAGTTTAAGCTCTCATTCACACGCCGCCCTACGCTCACCCCCCAGTGCAGGTCTGTACGGGTGTCCTGGCTCGGACGCAGACGGGGGTCCATCCGGTCAGCGTACGAGTACAGACATCCGCACGGTCGTACAGGGCGGGTGAGCGTAGGGCGGTGTAAGGCCGCGTACTCCCATAGAGAAGGGTGGGGGCTGCGTACTAATCACTCGCAGCACCTGTCCTTCCCGGGACCTGCCCGATACAGCCCCGCATGGAGCACAGGGCTGTACATGCCGGCTTTTTGCCGTGCGAATGAGGCCTTAGTGGCTTCTCAAGCATAAAGATATTAAAACTATTTACAGAGTCCATTATCTCTCTTCCTGCTTAGACAGTTGGATGTATTAAAAAAGAAAATTGTTCTTGACCTTCCTCACACCCTATGCATCACACTAACGGGAAGCAGAATATTTTCCACTGTTCTCTATTGTTTGCTTGTATGGTATGTTTTAACAGATCTTCATGATATCAGAATTGATTTTGCTGTGTCAAGAATACAAAATGTTTGAAATAAACATTAGTCTGAAGCTTGCACAAGAATTAGTATATTTTCTCTTCACCTCCCCTAATACTAGCTTATGGTAAGCTATTTGTTAAAGTAGAAGTCCAGCTAGGATTTGAATGACTAGGATATGTACTCAATAACAGTTACTTCCGGTTTCTTGACTGTGAGCTACCGAAGTCCCTGCACCAAGGGTGCAAATGGGTCCCCAGCAGGCAAACTACACATTGCGAGGATGGTCGTGTCTGCTGTTGAATTCATGACGTGGCAGCAGCCTTGTGTCACAGACCGGCCTGTTTTTGCAATATACTCGGTGGAAGTGGTTCTACAAAATTGTGCACCCACAAATGAGAAGCGGACAGATAAATAGCCATTCACATGACATCGTAATGATTGTGTGTCTTGTCTTAAGTTCTCTGTTAACTATTAGGATTTTTATAACTTTCAGCAAACCATTTTCTACATAAAACACTTTCCGTTTGTTCTCTTTTCTTATCTTTGCCAGGCACATGTATGGGGGTGGGGTGGGGGGAATAGTAAATCATCCTATTTATTCTTGATTATCGACTAAGTTATTTGCATTATTTAAAGCTATAGACTATTACTGGTCATCACCAGAAAATAATACCAGTAAGATGTCTCTGCCATGAAATTCCAATACAACCACTCACATCAACTTTTAAAACACCATATACATCAGACTCTCTGCATGCTGTAAATGTATTTGTGTTTAAAATAAAAAAAAAAAACTTAAAAAGGAATTACATTGCTTTGATTTTTAGGGGTGGGGGATGCATTGTTCCAGTGTTTTTATTGGATTGAACTTTATGGAAATGTCTTTCAGGTATAGTATATGGTCAAATGTCATCACGCCCATAAGAGCATGTTGGACATCCCATTCCAATACCAAACTTTAACATCTGCCACTCTTCTTGGAAGACTTTCTACAAGATTGTGTAGTGTGTCTGTGGAAATGTGTTCCCATTTAGCCAAAAGAGCCTTTATGAGGTTAGATACTGGATGAGAAGACCTGGCTTGCAAATGCCATTCCAGTCCATCTCAAAGGTCTCCAGTTGGGTTGTTGAGGCCAGGCCTCTCAGTAGACCACTCGAGTTCTTCCACACCACACCCGTTAAACCACATCTTCATGGAGCTGGGTTTTTTGCACAGCTGCACAGTCGTGTTGGAACAGCAAAGGGCTCCCTAAACTGTTGCCACAATGTTGGAAGTGTACAGTTATCTAAAATGTCTTTTGATGTTGTCAATACACTTTTGACCATATAATGTATAGCAGAAATGTTATGAGCCACGTGAGTCGCTTGCATTTTTACTAGGGATGCACCGATACCAAGTACAGTACTCGGTACAAGTACAGATACTTTTCCAGCTACTAGACTAGAGCAAAATTCAAACGTTAGGAGGCAGCTGTCATTTGTAAGAAGCACACGGAGCTCCTGGGATTTGGACTTCTCTGTTTTAATGTATGATTTGGTTTTTATAAATAAAGGGATGCACTGATACATTTTTGTTTATTGTCATGTGACAGTTTTTCTAAAACAATACAGACTAATGATTTCAGGACAGTGGTGGAGCAACAGAGCCCGGTCCCAGCTGCAACCCTGGTAGTTCTCATGAAAATGCCAAGTATCTGCACTGGTACTCAAAGTATCGGTGCATCTTGAATTTTTACTATTTTATGTTATGGAGGAAGTAAGGAAAAAACATTGGTGGGCCATAGATGATACTCAAGATATGGGCCTCCCTTTCTGTACACATGATAACCTGCTAAATCAAACCTATTGATTCATTTTATCATTAACATTTAGGCCTGGTTCACACCTGAGCGTTTTGTAGCACGTTCCCACGCTCTGCAAAATGCTCAAACACCGAA